ATGGTGACATGATGTGGGGTTGTGTCTTGTGGGTACAGTGGTACACCTCTGATCGGAGTAAAACTATTCGAATAGCCGTGCCCGCGGTTATGGGCGGGTCTAACAATGTCTTTCGTGATTAGTCTCACACCTCTCATCATAATAAAAGATGCTATAATTGGTAATAATTTGATTAGCTCCTGGTTTGGAATGGTATATTCCTGGTTTGGAGATAGGACTGTGCAGCCGGGATGGTTGTTCAGAATGGTTGGGCCTATACAACAGGGTATGTTGTATAGCGTTGGATTAATTTTGTTTAATTATTACTTAACTGTTTTATTAAATTCTGAAATGTTTATTAAAGGCTGTTTATGCAAATGGAACCCTATTATGCCATCCTTTGTTATCCTGTGCACTTGCATATTTGCTGCGTGACTTGCTGAGTATGTCATATACTCACCTTGCAATCATTCATCAGAGGAAGAGTTCTACAGTGATGCCGATGGTGTGGAGGATTAGGTGTAGCCCTGGTCAAGCTGCCTGTGGAATGGAGTCGTCTGCGCCGTTTATCTTTCTTTCCGCTGCTTAGATCTTTATTGATTGAGAGGAACTATCTACCTCTGTAATGACATTTTATTCGCTTATTAATTAGAGTAATAATTGTACTCTATTATCAATTTGTTATTGTGTGCCTCGGCTGATTCCTAGACGAGGGTTCACACACATGTAAGCGTTTGGAATTTTGGATAGAAATTCCGGGCGTGACAGCGCAAGACACGGGCGATGTAGACAGGTTCGGGCCGCTGAGAAGCGTAATACCCTACTCCTGTGTTCTGGTGGATCTGTGTATGAAGGAGTTACAAAGAGCTGGAGAGCAAGAGAGTTCAAACTCTAGAAACCCTCTTCCTCTTTCTCTTCTCTACGAGCTCAGGTCTTCTCCCCCTTCTTCCCCTCTTAAGTGAGCAAGGTCCTCCTTTTATATCTCAAGGGGATACCACATGCACCACTTCTACCTACTCTTCTTTTGGGTGGGGACTCACCCTATCTTCAAAAAAACTAGCTTGCGCCTTCGCCTGAAAGCTAAATCACAGCTTGTCTTTGAGTGAGGCCCAGCGTCATCACTCGCCTGACACCGGGGATCTCCCTGTTACTCCCTCATTAATGGGCGGAGATTTGCCATGGCTGCTGTCCGAATGACCCTCCGATGGGATGGGCCATACCTACCTCCACTCCGCCGGAAGCAGGCGCAACGTGGGAGCACGGTTGTCTGCCGATGACGTGACCGGCGTCAGACCAGTCACAAACCGGTCATTCTTGTCTACCACGCGTCAGTTTAGCATGCCACACGTCAGCCCTTCTTCATAAAATGACTTCCTTGTAATGGTTGCAATGAAGCCTGGTATGAATCTAGCCGGGACTGACGTGCTAACTCCAGGAGTTAGCACGTCGGCTCCGGCTAGGGACGAGTGCCTGGAGGCTCTCATCATTCCGACGGGACGGGGCGAGGCGTGCGAAAGGCCGCCTGTTGCCACCTAACCCGCGATCTGACCGGTCTGTGACTGGTCACACACTGTGACCTGTCACGGACCGAACGAGTGTGCTGCGCTGCATTAAATGCGGCGTGGGGCGCTCGTCCAACCCGCAATAAACGCGGTTAGGTGAGCGCCGCTGTGCTCACCTAACCCACACACATGGCGCCAAACCCACAGGGGGTCGGGGCGCCCCAGCCCTCGGGGCCGAAACGGGAGCGGCCCGACCCCTCGGGGAGACAGAGGGAGGGGCGGCCACATCACCCTCGGGCCCGACCCCCCCGAGGGGGTCAGGCCACGTGGGTGACTGCAGCTGCCCCAAACCTCTAGTCAAGATACCCCCGGTCCCATGTCACCGACAGAAGTATTACTAGTTAGTGTGTTTTCGTCGAAAGAAAAATTCAAAGTTCGCAGTAGTTAGTTTGTGCATAGACTTTAACCCGAGCAATTCGTAGAAGCGCCGTAGATCAAAATGTAGTTGAACGTGTGAAACGTGGCTAGTTATTTGGAAAACGTCGGCGATCATGCGCCCGATCAGCGGCAGAAAAATCGGGCGCCTCCCGCGCCTCCACGCCGTTGCAACAAATCACCCGCATATTACAGAAACGCTCTATTAAGGGAATCCGCTTCATTTTTAGTTTCACCAACAATGTTTCAGTAAGTGTACTCATGATGTTTCATTATGTATGGATCAAATGTTGCATTGAGTTAAAACATCCTTTCGCTATTTGCTGAAATATTGTTTTTATATAAGGAGAAACAGCGCCCGAGTTTTTTGGAAACCGTTTTTCATACGTTGTAGCAAATGTTTCACAAGGTGATTTGGTTGTGTTTCAGCTTTTTAAAATACTGAGACATTTTCGATCTACTTAGTGAAACAATTCCGATCTACTTGGTGAAACAGTGCTTGATATGTAGGCGCCTCCTAGTAATTTGAGCTATATAGGCTGAGGTGGCATGTGAAACGTACGGCAAAGTGTACGCGTGTGTGAGATATATGGCAATTGTGCATAGGATTAGCAATTGGTATGCAAAGACCAGTTCTTCTTCTTGGCACACTGCACACACGTAAAGATGGCCAGATGGCCCGAGACCTGACAGCCCGGCCCAAGGCACAACAATTTGGCCCAACCCAAGCACGGCACAGCCTGACTAGGGTCATGCCCGTGCCAACTCAGCCCGATAGCCGTGCCGTGCCTGGGTTGCTCCCTCGGCACGGTGGGCCAGCACGACCCGACACAATCGAAGAAAAAAAGTAGAGGGACCCAATAGACTTAATAAATCATAGTATAAGGTAAGGCTCAAAGAGAAGAGGAATATAAAATAGACTTATTTTCTAGCCATATAGGCACAGCCCAAAGAGTTGAAGGAGCAAAAATAGACTTATTTTGTGGAGAAGCACGATAGACTGTCGTGCCTTAGGGCCGGTCCAGCACGGCCCGAGTTTTATTGGGTCGTGCCTGGAGCGTGTGTGCTGCCCGTGGGCTGTGTAACGTCCCGCCTTCCCCCAGGCCGGGCCCGCTTACACCTGATATTTTTCTGCACACTTTGTCCTCACTCGTGCTCACCCGGGAAGAATTTCCCGGTCAGTCACCCATCCCCAAATCGCTCCAGGCAATCGCTCCAGGCCAAGCACACTTAACCTCGGAGTTCTTTGGAGATTGGCTTCCGAAAAAGAAGTTGCAACTTGTTGATATGAGTATTCTATTAATCCTATTAAGCCCTAGGCTAGATCGACGCCCCTGTCGATCAACCCCAGGCCAGGAACGTCCCCTCTTGGCCACATCCATGTGTCCAGTGCCAACGCATGTGTCATGACCACTCTAGTACGCTTAACCTCGGAGTTCTTTGGAGATTGGCTTCCGGAAAAGAAGTTGCAACTTGTTGATATGAGTATTCTATTAATCCTATTAAGCCCTAGGCTAGATCGACGCCGAGGGTCGGCTCTGATACTACTTTGTAACGTCCCGCCTTCCCCCAGGCCCCGCGAGGGTCGGCTCTGATACCACTTTGTAACGTCCTTCCCCCAGGCCGAGCCCGCTTACACCTTATAGCTTTCATAGGTCATAGACTGCCCTCACAGACCAACACATGTCTTTTCTGCACACTTTGTCCTCACTCGTGCGCAAGCACGCTTAACCTCGGAGTTCTTTGGAGATTAGCTTCCGGAATAGAAGTTGTAACTTGTTGATATGAGCATTCTATTAATTCTATTAAGCCCTGGACTAGAATGTCATAGGCTGGCACGACACGGCACGGCCCGATGTGTAGGTCGGGTCGTGCCGGTCCGACTAACCTCGGCCCAGGCACGGTGCCGTGCCATGCCGGGCCGGGCGGCCCATTTGGCCATCTAAACACACACGAATGTGTTCCCCTCGAGCGAGGAATAGGAAATCTCCATTGAAGTATATAGGAGGTCCTCCACTTCAAGGCACGTCTCGTCTGCCTCGAAGGATCGCATAAGATCGCCTGATCGCCCATGCGCCAGAACGCGATGTGTCCCACCGGCCCTGGGAGCAGGGGCAGAAGTTGATGATGCCGGCGACGATGATGCATCCTAGCTTGTTCGGTCGGCTCGCTCGAGAGGGTGGCGGCGACGATGACAAGCTCGCTGTTGTTGAACTTCATTTCTGGGAACATGTTGGGGGGAGGTCGAGGAAGTAAAAGCTGTTGAGGTTGACGAGGACGTGGTCGTCTTTGCCTTGAGCTTGGTCGTCGTCGTCGTCGACGGCGAGGAAGAGCCAGGCGCCGTCATACGAACCGAAGCAGCGCGAGAGGCGTGCGGCGTGCGGGGTGAAGAAGGGGTGGGTGCGGCAGCCGCTGGGGACGCAGTGGAACCCAGGGCCGCCGGCTTCGGAGTCGGGGACGACGAGCCACGTGAGCGGCGGAGGGGGATCGAGCCCTACGAGCGCCGCGCGCCAGGAGCGGCAGACGAGTTCCACCACGCGGCGGTCCACCTCGCACAGGACGTGGTGGCAGACGATGTCGGCTGAGAGCTCCGCCCATGGCCGACGACGTGGCGGGCTGGCGGCTAACGATAATGTCGCCACAGAGCTCCGTCCATGTCGGCGGAGATCGATGGTGGTGGCGATTTGGAGAATGGCACGAGACGAGGCAGCAATCAAAGAACGGGGCTAGACGAGAGCAGCGGGTGAGCGATCGAATGCAAAATTGCAGGTACACTTGCTACTAAAAGCAAAAAGTATTTTCTACACCTAGATGTATACATGTAATTTAAACAATTATATAAAATATTTCATAAAATTTGATAAGATAGTCCAATGATAATATAAGACATTATAGACACTATGTAAACATGCAAGTCTAAATTTGATCGATATATGAAGAAACAAAAATAACAAATTTTATATGCACTGTACGGATACTATTGACTGTCTGATTTTATTATTTTTGTTTCTCTAGTTGTAGATCAAATTTAGTCCTGCGTGTTTGTGTATAGACTTGTATCATCACAAACGATGCTACTAAATATTTTCAAATTTTTCTATAACTATTTGAGTCGCATGGAAATGATAGGTGCCATGGCATCTAGGTGTAGAAAATCTTTGTTCCTACCAAAAGCCAAAGGTTAATTCCTACTCCGTACTAATCTCATCACGCACACAGTTGCAAGAAACAGTCACAATGCACACACTGACACACCCAACCTGCCTGCCACAATACGCACACATACACACACTGCACACAGCTGCGACTCCGCATGCCGATCATATTAGCAACAATGCCGGCAGCAAGCACGCGGCGAGGCCGGCGAGGTAGATGAGAAGGTCGGCGGCGGTGGCCGGCGTGGCGGCCGAGCTGTCGCTGTCGTCCGCGTCGTCGTCGTCGGCGTCGGCGTCGGAGTCGGGCAACGTGGGCGCGGAGACGGAGACGTTGATGGCCACCTTCTCGCCTTCCTCGCAGTGCTTGCCGACGCCGCAGAAGTAGTAGCGCGGCCCGGGCTGGGTGAGCTCGATGATGGTCGGCCCGTTCTGCCACCGGTTTGTGATGTTCCTCATGCTGCACGCGTCGAACAGCTCCTTGGTCGGCACCTCCACGATGTTGTACACCCCGCTCCGGTACAGGAACACTGCAAAGATTGTTCCAAGATTCACCCAAACACTTCAAATTTTTCGCCAAAAGATCAGATAAAATTGCGAATTCTCAATGCATATGCTCACTGAGCTTGTCGCCGACGCTGATGTTCCTGGTGCGAGCCCAGTCCGCGTAGTAGGTCTTGTTGGGAGCCATCCGCCACCCCTTGCCGGCGCCGATGATGTGGTAAACTCCGGCGGCCGAGCCGGCGAAGAGGGAGGCCATGAAGGCCGAGAGGAGCAAGAAGGCGTACTGCGTCCTGCTCGCCATTCTCGCCGCTCTCTTTATTGACCGTGTGGCCGATAGCTTCTTCCTCTTCTTCCTCTGTCTCTCTCCGCCCTAGACTCTCCCTATGCTACAAACCTAACCTTTACTTCCTCCAATGGAAGAAAAGATTGTAATGGTGTAAGGGGGAGAGCCGCAGGGAGGGGGAAAAGTTGGCAAGGAGGAAGACATAAAGGAAGTAATGGAGTTGGAATCCATGGCAGATTGGCAGCTTAGCTTCTTGCCTATTTTTGCTGTTGGTTCTTGTCTCTCTTCCCTAATATTGGCAAGTGTGTAGGGGATCACAAGTTTGCAGCAAACATTTTCAGTGCACAACCTGTGTTCTTGCTATGTTTGGCTGCCTGCCAATAAGGTTCAGCCGTTCAGAGAGAGGAGTCATGGTCAGTAAACAAATTTTCTCTTCTTGTTCCTCTGCTGGACTTTTGTTTGCTGTCAGACATCAGAGCATGAAGTATATTGAAGTTCAGCAGGAATCCATTCAGAAAACAGCTCATAGCCAAATAATCTGCAGGTTGTAACCGTGATCGTAATCTAGGCACCTTTTCAACCGTTGGCCCATTAAAATTGTCGTGGGCCTGTGAACTGTGACGTGGCTGCCGATCGATGCATGCTGTCTGGTGTATTGATGGGCTTTTAGTTCCTGAAATGTCTTGTATTGTCAAAAGAACAACTATACAAATTATAAACTGATTCAATGCTCTTCCAAATCAGGCTTAATCTACTAGACCAAATTAATGGGCGCATGCGTTTTATTCTGTTTCAAAATGAAGAAATTGCAAGCACGGGAATGTTGAATTGTTGATTACACAATAATCCAATCATATGAAACCTGATCGAAATGCGTAACCAGAAAATTAGTCAATTATCGCTATCACCGGCACCAACGCGCAATCAGAGAATCGGCGAGCCAAAACACTTGTTGCAAGGTCTCTCTATACACAAAAATTGATTAAGCTTTCTATTTCAAACTACAGACACCTTTTCTAGATTACTCTTCCGAATCTTCTTCAAGATACAAAATCACCTTTTTCTAACTGTACTAGACGGCTTGCCACTGCACATCAAAACTGAGTTAATTCCCAGTGATATTTCTCGAGTAGATGTATCATGTAAGGCTTTTTAGCCCAAAAGCATATCCAATTTCATGATATATTATATTACATCGACCCTTTGTGACCCTAATCTGTACAGACCCCTAAGGCCCTCCTTAAAATGCTGACTTGTACTATGTCAAAACGCCATACAAACAAAATATTTTGGTGGTGGCAATCATCTTCAAGAATTGCCAGTACCTTTCATACCTTCGAAGATCTCTTTGTTCTCTTTGTTCGCCGATCTCTTCACCACCAATAGTTTGGCGCTGTAGGTTGCTTGAATGGGGTAAACTGAGTGTTGCAAATGCTCTGATGGAATGAAGCCCAGAACCGAAGGATGGTTGATGCTTGAGTAGCTGCCTGCTGCGAAGGCAGACGTTCACGGAAATATACAAGGGCAGCTAAGCATCAACCATGCAGTATGGCAACCTTAGGATTCAGATCTTCCCATTCACTAAAGTTCCCATCAACTTATTCACACAAGCTCAAGCACTTTAATGCTGCCAGTAGAATTGGCAGCCACTACCATGTTCGACCTCCCTCGCCAGCAAACACTGGACACAAATTGTTGGTTATCATCATTTGTCTCTTGTCCAGTTATTGGGTCGATTGAACCGAACTTGTGAGAAGTTATTGGCATGGGAAAGGTTTTGTAATAAGAAAATACCTGCATGTCAACACCAAATACATGAGAACTTTTTCTACAAAAAGGTTAACAGAAGAAATATAAGATGAGACATTGATTTCAGATCATGAAAGTGTTCACAAATAAGACTTCACATAAAGACATGAGATGTTTAATGTATAAACCTTCAAATGAGCATAATCTAAACTTCACCATCCTACTACGTAACATAGAACCAAGGTGTTATGATTGGGGCCAAATTTATGGCACGACTTGGGTAATCGTTACAAAGGAAGAAATGGTGAAAAAAAAAAGAACACCAAATGTCAATCGAACTAGTTGAGGGTGGGGGAGGCCTGGGCATATAATTTTCTTAACAAGAACTCAGGTAAGTTTTCAACTCAACAGAACACCCAATTGACAGTATAACAATTAAAGTAACCGCATTGTATATAATACTCACTTCATTATTTTCAGAACCACAAGTTATGTATCCATCGTGAACAGATAACCCCACAAAATTCTGCATGGACAATTATCACTTATCAGTGAGGTCAAGTATAAATTGATTCTGAAAATGAGATGATACAAAATCTGCTCATACCTTCTCATTGGTATGGCCACTCAACGTCATACTGCAGGCATCAGTAGATAATCCACTGGAATTAGTCTGGTTGAGATCCCATATTTTCAAGGTGTTATCAGTTGATGCAGAGATAAGTGTTTCTGGATCCAAGAATCGTACATAGCTGACAGCTTTTCCATGCCCAGAAATAGTACACCATGGGATTCTTGTATTCCTCAGATCATAACAGTATATCTTATAATCAGCCGAGCCAAAAGCTAACATACGAGAGGAGTATGGGGAGAACTGTACACAGCACACGTTGGCCACGTTTCTGATGGTATCAGTGCAATTTTTCTGGTGACAATAAGACATCGACTCAGAATAAGAAAAGGTGGCAGGAAACAAAAATCTAGCTAGGAAGGTGGAAATAATCAACAAATAAGATCAAACTATGTTAATGTACGATAAATTGATAACTGCTGCATCAATGGACAAAAAAAACTTTTGAGTACTTTTCAGGTATCTTCCTATGCTTGACTCATTCTTCTGACTGAAGAAAGGTTCCTACCTAACTTGGCATGTTTCTTAGTGTTCAGCTATCCCAACCTAGCCCAACAGGATAGCTTCAGAGTTACAGATTTACCAACAGTGGTGCAATGTCGACTCGAGACAAAATAATTTATAGTATTAACATTTTATCTTATCTGAAACTCCCTGTGTCACCTTTTCTTTTTTAGGAAAAAAAAGATCATGTATTACTTCACTGTCTGTCATGCTTAACCCTATGGTTGTACAAAAACTAAGTTAAGCAGTCCAGAAGGTTTGACAGCTAATTAACATTATTATTTGTGGTGCATGCATGCATGGCAACCTTGTCAAGCCAGTCAACCAGATTTTGCAAAATCCTACTTCACAGCATTTAGCAGATTAAGAAAAATAGCAGAACAAATATGTACTAGTTCAACAACATGCCTGGTTAATACTCCAAACTTTCACGCAGCAATCATCACTTCCACTTGCCAATTTAGTTGGATCCACCTCTGAGAAACTTACAGACCAAGCTCTTTTTCGGTGCTCCGTAAACTGCGTGAATCCTTGACCCGAGCTTGCATCCCACAACTGCATTTCACAGTGATAATCAAACCGATGGCAAAAAGAAAAGAAATATATGCAATGCTTTTCCATGCATCTGATGCTTATATTATAGATTGATGTTTGCTTTTAAGCACATAAAAGAACAACAGTTCAGAGCACGACATGTTTTTTTCAGAGTAGCAAATGATAAGTGTCTTATGATGATAGAAAATCAGTACAGACATTTTTCAAATAAGGAAACTACAAGGTGAAGCAACCTATATACGAAAATTGTTACAGATATAATGGCAACCATAATGTTTCTGCTTCCTTCAACACCCTTCTTTAAACATATTTTTATTTTCCCTATAATATGTTCCTTCAACAAATTATATGGTAGATAATCCCCATCACCCCCTTCCTTGTCCTTTCTAAAGGGAACCCAGTAGAATGATTTGAATAATTTTTCACTTTTCATAGGCTTTCAGTAGAACTCAAAGACAAGGAAATGTTTTCTCAACCATATTCATCGTTTTCAGTTTCCTACAGATAACCTTAATCAGAAGCTCGGAAATTTCACCTTCAGAGCACTTTCTCCAAATACTAACCTACATGTGCACTTGTGGTATCTTTTGGATCATTATCATAATGGTAACAAAAAAAATGGGCACCCAAAAAAAAAAGAACATACTACTATTATATTATCAGCCCCAAAGCTAAAATTATGAGGACATGGCACTGCACTGCAGTAGAACATTTGCTAAATATTGAGGTGATGTTCACTATATAAACCAATTTTGCAGATCAACAGTATCCTAGATAGCAAAATAACCAAATTATCTGAATATATTTATAAACCTAACTGAATCAGATGAACAGTTTTGTTGAATGGAAGCTAGCAGAAACTGCAAGAATGAAAATATAGCAACTTGACAATAGCAGATAGACCTCTTATATTCGGCCATAAGATAGATACCTGAACAGTGCCATCGTAGTCTGTTGATGCCAAGTAATTTTTTATGTAGCTGTTCCAACAGACACAGCTAAGCTTGGATTTGCTAGGCATCTCTATCAATGGGTAATGAATATCAACACGATCATTTAAAAGGGCATCAAATTCAAATATTTTAATTTTCTTTGAAACACCAGCAGCAGCAAAATATTCTTCATCCCGATCAAAACTTAACGAACAAATCACATTTGGTGAGTTAAGTATATCTGCATTCTTCAGAATTCCCCGTACTTCAAACCTACTATACCGGGCATACTTGCATAAGCCATCGAAAAACCATCCAAGGGGGTCTGCTTGCTCATCGATAGCATTAGCATCACTATGCAGCTCGTGAAAATTTTGACGAACCCTTAAAGCATCATTATCAACTCGTTTAATTATATTGGCCTCCGATGTGTCAATGGTGGACCTCATGGAGTAATATGCATTTTCAAGCTGCTCCAAGTTTCTCATGACCCGCTCCTCATATATGCTCGATCTGCACAAAGATGGTGGCAAACCTGAGAGTGATGCACCTCCCAGGGCACATGCAGAAGCTCCTGAGAGATCATTAGAACCTGCCAGTACATCCATGTCCTCTAAACTAAATCCCATCCTCATTGAGTGTCTTTTCTCAACCTCTGCGATATCTGTTTCCAAGCTCGCAAGATCAGCTGACAATTTGGCAGCGTGCATCTCCTTTTCTTCCTTGAGTTGAGAAAGGAAGCCCAGTAGCAAACCAGATTCGGTGTCTTCTTCATTGACAGCAACTGGTGTTTTATTATCTAACAAGGACAAATCTCGACCCTCATTTATCAAGTCACACCCTAGAATATCTCTGACAAAAAAGCAAAATGTCCATCAGGCATAAATTGGTTTGGAAGTATTATTCAAAGTCTGCAGATGGAAAATAAAAATCATCCACGTAGGGAAAAAAAAGTAATGCTAATGAAATGATTATGTATAATTGCCTTGTGCAATGAACAAATAAAGGATTTCTATTATTTAGACCGGGATCAGCACTTTTCCATGAACTTCGTATTTTGTTCATGCTCAATGTCCTCTATTATTCTATGAATAAAGCTCAACATTCAACATTCAACAAAATACCAGCCCTAGCAGTGTATCTATATTAAAAAAAATAGAAGCAAGCTAAGTTAATACAGGAGCCAGGAGCATTAAGTAACCAGGTACAACAAACTAATAATTAATTAATTATGCCTTGAGATCTCATCCTTTCACTCCACCAGCCAAATGAACTGCCTAGAGTATGAAGTGTAACTTACGAAATTGCCAAAATGTAACCCTATGAATATTTGATCCTATCCAATTAATCACCAAGTATCTTGCTTTCTGATGACCGCTGAGAGAGACAAGCATGCTCACCTTGCCTTAGGCCGAGAACAGGGATCTGGATGGAGTAACCAAAGACAGAAACCAGCTTCTTTAGGACTTTCTGAAAGAAAATTTGGGGGCAAAATGCGATGACGGAGATCTGACATTGCAGCACAATGTACCTCCCATGTTTCACAGCAGCAAAAGAGCTGGTAGGAAAGAGAATGTTGTCAACTACAAGCCAGGCTTAAGATAGCACCAAAGAATTCCACGGAAACTAGAAATGATAAAATTCAATGTGATTTCCAGTAGCCATCATAATCTATTGTCTGTGCGTGCACATGCGAAGTCTATTAATGGAATATCCTGTAGACCTTCTGTACTAGTTAAGGCTAGATTAGATTTTACTGAATATGTTAAAAAAAAGAATAATAATATGCCCATGCAGCTTAGATAAGCAAACAATATTATTTCATCAAACAAGAAGACTGTTGCATTGTGTCAGTCAGAATTGCACATCTCAATCAGGTATATCTCAAATTCGTAGAAATACAATTATGATAATAGTAACCGATCATTTCAGCAATCCAACTGCTGCTAAACAAATAAGGGAGACAGCATACTCATATACTTATTATTGAGTAGGATAAGTAGGAAACTCTGCACTATACATGTCCCAATTTTTCAGCTACTCATAAGTGGAACCATAAAAACAGCATGAACTCCTCATCAAATGGCTTAAGAGTAAAAATCATCCACAAACAACCTCATGGGGTAAGAAAATAAATAGCATTTGCACAATGTCACTTTACTTTTCTAACACTACAAAGTGTTTGGAGGACTACTTCAGGATATGTGATGAAAGCAATTGGCATACCTCAAACAAAAGAACCCCAAGGCTGTAGATGTTTGATGGAAGTATGCCTTTCAACTGACTGATCTCTTCTGGACTTCTGTACCAGCTTTCCTCCAGCATCCTCAATTCAAATACTGACTGTTGGTTGCCAGAACTTGATGGTCGTTGAGCATAGGGCATACTGCCACCATAGAAAGGTTCTGCAGCCTTAAAACGTTCTCGGACAGTGCAGCTCGAATTGCCCTGCCACAAAGCACCAGGATCAACACCTTCACTTTGGTTGCCCCCTCTGTGATTAGCCCAAAAGGTATGCACTGGTCGCCTTACAGCAATGGATCCTTGTTCACCAACTTTTTGATACTTTGTGATTGAAGCATTATCGCCATTAGAATCTTGGGACTCAACTTTGGGATCAAGGTATCTTTTTGTATTGAAAATATCATCCGTCGCAATATCCAGTTTGCTTGGGGCTGATAAATCTTGGGTACCATAAGAACCAATATATTTTACTTGGTTTGAGGCTGAGATAGTAAAGTATGATGGGCGCAAATGCTGTAAACTAAAACCCTGGGCATGAGATTTGTCTACGAGATCAAGAATCTGCTTAAAGAAGTGCATTTTCTCAAACTTGCTCATTGTTTGGCGTGCAGGCTTAATTAGTTCCCTTAGGCTGGTTCCCTCGCACTGTGGTTCTAAAACATTTCCACCACTGCCAAAGATTGTACCATCCATTCTAGCCATGGAATCCTGTGGTATGTTAGGGATCTTGCGAATCTTATCCATAGGGGCTCTGGTCCTTGCATTACCTTGAACTTGGATCTCCTCTCGTGCACCTTGATATACAACACCTTTACCCTTCAACACACTCTTAAATGGGAAGCTCTGAACCCCAGACGAAGGTGTTACATTCTTACTCCTCATCTGATCCAGAATTCTAGCTGAAAAGCTACTCACTATGAGAGCATTCTCCCTTTCAACTCGCTGCTCATTCTGATTAGGCCGTGGAGACAGAAAAGGCTGCTGATTACCAAACGGCAAATTGAACTCGTTATTCGCATGATCCCCATGGCTCATTCCCATTTCCTTGTTGGATGCATCATTTCGTGAGATCATATTGTTGCCGAAGCTCACCGCCAAATTTTCCCTGATGGGCATGTCACCGACCCTCAAGTTTGCAACGTCACCACGATTCGCTGCTAATTTTTCCCTGTTAGCCACGTCGCTAGCTCTCCATGACATCCTTGTAAAATTACCCCACAGACCCCTCATAACTGTAGGCTTCTCCCCGCTGCTCGTGCTTCCACCAGCTGAAACCTCATGTTGCGCATCGGAGCTGATGCAATTTTTCAATGTGAGCTCCTCAACCCTCTCGTCTGCATTGTTCAAACAGCTCTGGATCTGGGTTACACTATCCGGCCTCGACTCAGAATTAGATAGGCCAACACTAGTCAAGCCCCTCGCGCCATCCATGCTGCCCCCAAACCCGCCCACCGAATTGAAGAAGGAGAAATGCTCCGACCAATCTATGTCCCTCGGGAGCGGGAGCGGAGTGGAGGGCATCTCAAGCGCCTCGCTGGCCGCCGGCTGCTCCGCAGTCTGACCATTCTCCTTGCTGCCTTTAATCTGCAAATCGCCATCCGTGCCGCTGCCGGCACCGGCCACCTCAGCCGCCGTCGCCGCTTCCATCTCGACCACGCCTACCCTACGAAAACCATGCGTCCCCGCCATCCTGCTCGCAATGAGATCACCCCTCGCCGGACCATCCTCCGCGCCCCCCCAAATTTCAGCGGTTGGGAACCATACCTCACGGCGAACACAACCTCGCGCCGCCCACCACCATCTCAGCGCCACAACCCCATCCCAGAGCGACCACGACCCCTCGCGCGATTACCTGTAGGGTTAGACCACGGATTAGAACTCGTCGACCCCTAACAGCGACATTCCTACCCAAAAAAAAAAACGAATTAGAGCCACACGTTACCGAGACGACGACGCCTGCGCGGCACGCTGCGCCGCCTGAGGAAGGCGGCGAATCCGCGGCGGGGGCGGCGGCGGTGGCGCCGCGGCGGGGGAGGCGAGCGCGCGGAATTTCCCGAAAGGGAAAAGCGCTTAGGTTTTTTTTTTCTTCGCCTCCTCCTCTTCTCTCCTCTCCTCGCGAGTGTGTGGCACAGAAGGAAGGGGGAGAAGCAGCAGCGGCAGCAGCAGAGGGACGAGGAAGAAGGGGGAGAGGATTAAACAAATCGAATTTTCTGATCGTTTTGCTTTATTCTTTCCTCCTCACCTTTTTTTTTCCCTTCTTTTTTTTTATCTCCTTTTTCCCGGTTTCGGTTTACGTCCGGCCTAATCACGCTTTCGCGGTGGCCTCTAGTTTTCGGTCAAATTACGGGAAAATTCACCGGCTTTTGTGCGGTTTCGTGGTGGTGGGGAACTGGGGATACTGGTGAGCCCATGGCCGTTTGGTAAAATTTACCCGAACTGAATAGTCGATGTCGTCTACTGTAAGAATTGGAAAGAATTGTGTTGCTCTTTCTCCTTTTCTTTTTCCCCTCAAACACCTGCCAAAACTGGATGTTTAAAATGCATTTTTTTTGCTCATTTTATTATTGGACCTTACAACTAACGGTTTTCGCAATTTAAGCTATAGGCATTGCCTGGGAGGGAGAGGTGGAAAGTTCATAAGGAATTTTATATGGTTGGTTGTTTTATATTTCTTTGACATTTTATTTGTACGCATCTAAAGTTAAAATAGTTTTTTTTCTTTTAGAAACGAAATTAAAATAGTTGGTGTGTTTAATATCGTGTGACCGTGCCGAACAATCACATTGGTTTTCATTAATCGCCCAGTTGCAAAACGCGTGGTCTCCGGCCAAAAGGGAAAAAAACATGGAGCATGAATCCTCCTGACCATGCAAATATATTTTTTAAACTTGGCCTATGGGAACTAAAGGATATTATAAATTTATAATTAGAGGTGTGTTTGGGCAATAGAGAAAAGAGGGGAGAGTGAGAAAGAAAGGGATAGAGAAAGTGGAGCATATAAAACTGTGGTGGGAAATGAAGATAGGTTGCCTTCCAGGACACCAATGACCAACCAGCCAGCTTCTTGTCTTGACAGCACAGTCCACAAGCAAAAAAAATGGTGTAGTCGCTGCAAATATGAGATGAGCCCCGCTACCCCAATCGCTTCAGCAAATGGCCCACTATGCTACTTTTTCTAATTGGTAGTACTTCTGCTAAACATCGAAAACAATATTAATTGAATATGATGTTTACCTAATATTTTTTTTAGAAACAGACGCTCACAACGTGCGCACACTCACCCCTATGAACGCACACACGCACACCCTACCCCTATGAGCACCTCCGGAAGACTGGGCCGGCATATCTTGAGATTGACGAAGTCACCACAGGCGTTTCGCTGTCGACGGGTACGTCGCCTACCATTGAAAGAATAATTAGCCATAAATGCGAGCACCCGTGTCAAGTCTAGAATTTGAACCCGGGTGGACTGGTTCCACCACAAGAAACCTAACCCGGGTGGGTTGGGTAAATATGATGTTCACCCAAGATGAATTAACGCAGTGGCAGAATGCAGAATGTTACTTACCGTGTGTTTGTTGATAAATGTTTTTTCTTAAACAAAAAACAAACTAGGCAAAGTTAAATTTTTAGCAAGGACAAAAGTTTAAATTCGAGCCCGTTCAGCTACTTTGCAATTATTTCGCAAATTATTCATTCCACAACTCTAAAAATATATTTGCTCGACAAAAGAAACTTCTTCTACCATAAGGAGTATATTTTAGAACCCTGGTTATTTTATTTTCGAGTTGCATAAAACCATGGTGGTTTTGATATGCGGTGCATAACCTAGGTATTATGGTCTTCAGGTTTCATAAAATTGCACTACTGACTATTTTAATTTATTCTCTCCATTTTAAAATATAAGCATTTTAGGATATGTGCAGAAATGTTTATATTTTAGAATGCACAGAGTGATAATGAGGATGATAACATTTAGACGACGGATTAAACGAACTTATAAATTTAATTTTGGTTATAAGTTTAGAAATCATATTTATAGTAGATAAAAAGGGTTAGCAGTGTGGGTTTATGAGACTATAGGTCATAATATCTGTGGTTATATATGACATATCATAAAGCTTTCTGCAACTTAAACCAAAATACATAGGGTTGTGTGACATACTGACATCTACTCTTTGTTCTAAGCTGTACTCATTAAAATTATCTTCTTACAATGATTAATTTATTCTTATTGTTGAGTACATAATCATAATTGAATATGGAAATAATTCATAAAACAATCAGTTCAAACGGGCCTCAAACGTGTCCCTTTTCAACGCCCAATGTGCCATAATTCAAGATACAGCTTTGCTAAAGTTACTGCACAACAATGTACTGTACCAATTTTTTTAAGCAAGGAAATGATTTTCACAATACTCCGCAGCTGATATCTTTCAAGCGAGGAAATGATAAAGGCTGCTCAACGCCTCACGCCAAATTAACCATACCAGTAAAATCAAGCTGCAGTTAATCTCCATGAACAGCCGTCGTAGCCACCCTCCCCTAGCTGCAGCCGCGACGCGGGCTCGGCGAACCCGCACACAAATGAGAATGTGAAGAGAGGGCAAAAAAAAAATCCCTTGCGGCGCTGGCGCTCCGGGGCTCCGGCGCGGCGCGACGTGGGGCGCTCCTCGCCACGACCCACGCCTTTAAACTATACGCCCCGACCCGCCACCCGCCGCGATCTTGATCTCCTACTCGCGTGCGTATTCCTGTGGCCATTAGCCGCCGCCCCCCCCGATTCTCATTTCTACTTCTCCCCCTCAGCTTGTGCCGCTACAGCTACAGCTACTGGTCCACCACGACGACGACGATCGCCCGTTTCCCTTTCCGCTTCCTCGGCCGTTTCGCAGCGGCGTACGTCCGCCACGGGGAAACCGACCCGGCGTTGCGAAGAAAGGGATGGACGACGCTGCCATTTTTTCTACCCATGCTTTGATGCGGGGCACGTCACAGTGAGGGAGCCACTCCGCGTTGTTGTAAACAAGCTGCTAGCTAGCAATAATGGGGCATGGGTGAACACACGCACACGCTCAGCTTGAATTTTCATTTCGATCGATCGAGCGAGCGAGCGAGCACGCACGCACTCTCACTCCTAGAAGATAAACATGTGACGACGTGAGATCATGTGAACATTCTACTGTTGGAGCCTTAATATCCGTGGATTATCAAAATGCAGATGTCGTCATCGCCTCGATCTCGTTTCCAGTGAGCCGGCCTTCCACAGAAGCAAGTTTTTTAACGGATCACACCGTTAATTTTGAGCGTATGTTTAACCATTGTCTTATTTAAAAATTTTATATAATTGTGTAAGATATAAATTATACTTAAAATACTATAAGTGATAAAACAACTCATAACACAAGTAAATTATACTACCTCCGTCCCATAATAAATATCTTACAACAACGTTTGACCATTCATTTTATTTGAAAAATTAGTGTAAATATATAAAAAAATAAGTCATACTTAAAGTAATTTTGATAATAAAACAAGTTACAAACAAAATAAATAAGAATTCCAATTTTTTTAATAAGACGAATAATCAAACATTGCAAACAAAATCTTAAAGCGACGAAGTAATACGGGACGGAGGACTATTCGTCCCATCCCAGGACTTTAGATATGGGTCTCGTCTGATAGATTTAATTGGGTAATTGATCCATTTAAATCAATTAAATCAAATAAATTCCAAGGCTCATTATGCTAGGAATTCATGTGTATTCATTTTTTTATGGGATATCAATGGGATGAAGAGTTTTGAGAATTAATCCATTTGATTAGGGAATTGGTAACTTATATTAATTAGTCCTAATTGATGAATGGTTGATGGTTGTGTAGTGGAGTATGGTTCATGGCTAGTTGATGACAATTAGTTGCTCTATTTCTCTTCCTATTCCATTGGTAACTTACATCAATTACTCTTAATTGATTGTTGGTTGATGGTTGTGTAGTGGAGGATGGTTCATGGCTAGTTGATGACAATTAGTTGATCTATTCCTCTTCCTATTCTATGACTCTTACTCTTCATCTTCCATTCCTCTTATAAAATGAGAATGGATTTGATCTCCCGCGAGAATAGTGAGACACACTTTCATCCATTTTCCAACGCTGTTGCTGCTACGGTAATCCCATCCCGACGAGTGTGTGCACACGCGTTGGGAGAGTAGGTCTCCGAAACCACGCGCTGCTGCGACATTTGCACGGATGGGCGGGCGATCGGGTTTTTGGGGAGCGCAACGCGTGACTACTCACTGTTCGTCAACATCTACTTCACCTTCACCAATATGTCGAACACTGGAGACAACGGCAACACTGGATACAAGGAGAAGGAGGCTCCCGTCAACACCAACGGAGGCAATACTGCTTCAAACTCCAGCGGATGACCATTCTTGGGGTATAACATTCTTACATTATTTCAATTAGAAGTTTTACTGTTAATGTTCATCGCAATGTCAACATTGTGTTATTATGTGATTGTTGATGCTTATTCTACATTAAGCATGCTCATGTTGATTGCATTCACCACTATCATTGGATCAAATCCCATTGTAAATATCATGTTTATTATCTTGTTATTTTGGATTAAAATATGCCGAATTATGACCAAAGTTCCAACAATCCAAAAACCTGCTAGGTCATTTTCGGTAGTTGGCTTTGCTGCAACACTGAAACCACATGCTTTTGATGGTTCTAATTATAAGAGATGGAAAGCACGTGCACTACTGTGGTTGACAGGGATGCAATGCTTCTATGTTTCACGGGGCAAACGAAGTGAACCGCCTCTCTCTCCTGAGGAGGAGGCTAAGTTCGAGGCTTCGGATTGCCTGTTCCGTGGAGCATTGATCAGTGTACTCGCTGACAATATAGTGGACATGTACATGCACATGCTTTCAGGGAAGGACATGTGGGATGCACTTGAGGCCAGTTCGGAGTTTCTGACGCCGGCAGTGAGCTGTATGTCATGGAGCAGTTATATGACTACAAGATGGTCGATGACCGTTCTGTAGTGGAACAGGCTCATGAGATTCAGATGCTGGCAAAGGAACTTGAGAACAACAACTGTGAGTTGCCGGACAAGTTTGTGGCGGGTGGCATTATTGCCAAATTGCCACCTTTTTGGTCAGACTTTGCTACTTCTCTAAAACAC